GCATTCAAGACAAGATCTTTGAAGGGATGGTGGCTACATACATACATTACACAAATGTTACATTCTCTTCTTGCATCTTACTTATACAAATTATCATTATAATATCTCCCAGTTTCATAATTGCGAAAAATAATATTTTATCTGAACTGAGCATTTACAAGCTTGCCTCTTACAATCAGTGAACGACAATAGTCACTAGAAGTGTGTGGGAAACACGAATCTATATTTATTGGTTCTTTTATGTTGAGAACAGATGAGCAGGATTTTCCAAACAAAATATGTGGTCAATATATTAAAAATACATACACACTTAGAAATATCTAATCTTACACGTGACGGAATCCATCTTTGACATAAAGGATGAGACGTAAACAATCATTTCATGTAAAATTAAGTGCTCCGAGACTAAAAACTTTGAAAGTACGTTTGATTGAGCTGAATTTCGCGTGTATTATGACTCAATCTTATGTCAGAATTGACGCTCGTATATGTCAGTCTCAGAGCACCTAAATTTACTTCAATTTTTCTAAGTGTGTAGAATTGTTCGAAGGGACAACCTATTGCTCTTCTAGGGATTTATTTCCATTTTATGGATTAATTCCAAGAAGAAAAGGTTCCACCACAAATGAACAAGGCTTCTAAGATTTGCCAGCAAATATGTTTTAAATTTGTAAATCGACCCTATGAAAAACATTTTATCAGCTTTCAGCCCATTTTCATACTGGCGGTAGAACCAAAAATCAATACGAAACTAACGATTTCAAATTGGCTCACTACTTGACTAGCTTATTGGTCCCAAGCAAATCGTTTAACGTACCCCATTCTAGTATAAATTCTAGTTCTACACTATGTTTGTTTTGATTCGCTATGAAAGTTTGACAGATAAAATGAGGGGTTCGTGGATTTTCCCATGTTTAGAGGGGAGCATCGATTAGCTTGGGACCGAAGATAGTACCAGAGCTGAGCCAAAAAGTTGAGCTCGTTTCTTCGGGACCTTCGGGACCTCTATGGTGGAACTATGACAGCGCGGTAGAAGTCTACCCGAGCAAAGTCGGATATCAAAATACTATCAACATTATATGAAATTATGTTTTTTAAATCATGTTGATAACATATTTTTTTATGCTATTTTTTAATTTCGGGTGAATTCACATTTTGATATTATTTAGATATTTCTAAAAAATATAATTAAAAAAAAAATTGATATTTTATACAGAATATATAAAAGAACATTTTTATAAAAATATCTGAAATTTTCATTTTCATCGTAGCCTAATTTGTTCCATGATTTGTGTGTCCTATATTGAATATAATTCCATTAGAATTTGCCATGAAAACTATACCCTAAATTTGAGAAATTCACATCTATTTCTATGCTATTAGATCTAATAAACTACAATCGTTCGTCATATTTTAAGTTTTGGGTTTTCTTCGGGTACCAAATTCGCGAATGACAGTTTTTGATTAAATTTGAGTCTGTTATTTGTCTATAATGACAAAAGCGATTCATTTTATACTTTCCTATAATTTGAACCACTGGATGATTAGTTCCGGTTCTGTACTTTAATATGGCACCATTAGTACTTTATTGATAACATTTTTTTATTTTTATTTTGAATCTTGATATCAACCAATAGATTTCAAAACATTCAGAGTACTAAATTTGATACCATGATTTCGATATTTTATATTTTGTTTTCCTACCATAGTTATAATAACATATTTACTACTTATTTTGTTTATTATTAACGAAATTACTAATATCAATGTTATTTTGGATTTGTTATCAAGAAAATATTATTTGTTATCTTTTTAATATCCCGCATATACCATTTACCTCGTTAACTCGACCACACGGTAGGCAACCCAAGCAACATTGATAATTTTATCGAGGTTTTAAAGCATTCTACAAGTCTAAATCATTGTCTACAGAACCCTCATAAAACCAGAAATGTTACTTGGGTGTTGATTTTCGTAGATTATAAAGCTGTAAATTCAATTCTCGAATATTGCTTTGTGCTTTGGGCTCCATACCATGAAACTTATATAAATCGTATAGAATCAGTTCAAAAACAGTTTTTGTTATTTGCTCCTAGGAAACTAGGCTGGACCTCTTTCCCCTTCTTTCTTATGAGTCCCGTTGCATGTTGATATACATTGAAACACTTAGAAACGAAGAGAAATTTGTTAATGATATTATCTCACAACGCGTAAATTCAGAAAAATATTAGCTAGCTTAAATTTTTGTGTACCATCACGCATGTTAAGAACTTGAAATGTATTTCAACTGTCACCTCACAGAACGAATTATGGTAGAAAGAGACCAATCAATAGAATGATGAGAGTGTATAATAATTATTGTGAGCGTATAGATCTAACGATGTCTAAAGATACTAAGGAGAACACTAACTGCTAGGTTTTCATCTCGTTGAGTTTAAAACAATTTTTATTTCTTAGATATTTGTATATGCAGTAGACCTGTTCATTTTAACAGAAATGTTCGGAATGCAACGGGTCAACCGTGATTACTGTTTGTCATCTTAATCTGAACTTCTGTGCAAATTTTCAGCAAAATCGGTGATGATTTAGAGGTGCTTCAAGCTAATTTTATGTTTTTAAGGTAATTTACGGCTTATAATATTTGTATCTCGCGACAAACAACGAAAACTGCTGTAACACGCCTACATAAGAGCAATAAATTTGCATCTGTCTTAGCTGCTGCAGGGCATTGCAAAAACTTACAAGAAAGGAATTGGAAGTGTTGGGCAACTTCTGGAGTCCCACCTTTTTCACACTATCTATCAATAGATAGCTGAGGAAGATTGGCTTCACTGTTTGGTTTTTAGTGCAACACATGCTTGAGTCCTTTTTGAATAGATGCTATGTCCATTTGTCGATCAACTCAAAAAAAGGTCAAAGATTAAATTAAAGATTGTACGTATCAGTTTTCCAAAAATACCGCACTGGTCGCTTTAGAAAGCGAATCAAGTTAATCGATGTTTTGATCGACAAATGGACATAGGACCTATTCAAAAATTAATCGAGATTCGTTTGAGGCTGGGTGAAATTGGTTGGGATAGTGTATCTAGAGGGTCATGTCTACTGGATTTTAAAAGATTCCGGGATTCAGTACGAAAGCTCTCAACTACTAACTGTGGAAGTGCATCTAGAACACTAAGTTGAGAACACGTAATAAGCTAATATGCGATAAGTAATAAGTTTGAAATGCACAGACGAAGAAGAAGAAGAAGAAGATGATGATCCCGAGAAATGTTGGGATTTTTGTTCCGAGTTTTTGGGGAAAGGATTCACTAAACTAGAGGGGGACTGTTTAAGAGTGGAGCGGATTGGCTGGTTTTGAGCCAAACGGACTGTCAAAGCCAGAGCTAATCGAGCAGCGCTTATCTTGATTGCATTGGCAGTGCTGCTAGAAATCACCTAGGCATAGGTTGCCAAGTTGTGGGGCCTTATAACCTAGCCAGTAAAGGCATGGTATTACCAAGCCGGAGGCGGTGGATTTAATGCCCGGTTCGGTCGAAGGAATCTTTTCGGGTTGAACATTTTCTCGACTTCCCTGGGCATAGAGTATCATTGTGCTTGACACACAATATACAAATTCATGCATCGGATTGGCTCTCAATTAATAAGTGTGGAAGTGCATTTAGAACACTAAATTGAGAGCACGCAATAAGCTAATAATAAGCTTGAAATGCGAATAAGAAGAAGAAGATAGGTTGCCAAGGCAGTTTGTTTTGAATCCGCTCCTTTCTTAGACCCTCTCTACTCTAGACCAGCGCTGCTCAATGTGTGGCCCACGGACCAAACGTGGTCTCTAGATCTCAGCAATGATATCATTCTAGCCCAATTGTATTCATCATTATGAATTTTAGTCCAAAATGAATGATGAATAAATAAAATGCAGCTTGAAACATGTTTATCGAACAAATATACAAACATTTAAAGAGCAAGTTTATAAAGGTTGGGCAGACCTGCTGTAAACAGTCTTAGGTAATTCTATAAATATGTATTTCTTCTTTCTTCTTCGGGTTCATCAGTGCTAAGGAAGTTTAGACAGTGAGGTCTGAACTAAAGAACTGTGATCAGCTGTTCATTATAGGGAAATTATCTATCAGTTTTACGATTAAATTAAATATCCACTCATTTATTAGAACGTACTTGGTTGCTTCTCCTGCGTCGATAAAACGAATAATTATTTTTTATAGCGATCTATTCAAAAGGCGTGAAAACTTCTGCTGATCTTGAGAGTCGGCAATCGTCGAGGAACTCAGTCTACTCGTACAAAACGATGTGCTATAACCTGTGTATGTTTAACATCATCATCCGTCATTACACGCTTGTGCTTCTGCTGTCGATGCTGTAGACGTATACGTCTGACTCGTCCATTCGATGTCCACACTATGATTTTTCACTTGAGATCTCGTTTGCAGCGCATAAAAGATAAAAGTCAACCAGCGATGAGCTCGAAAGATGAAATGAATTATAAAAGCGATGATATGCGATACCTCTTGAACAGTTATTCATAAGGGTAACAACGAACGTTACTCAATGAATGAAAGGGGTGTTCGAGGATAATTGTAAGTTAAATCTTCGTTCTACAAGTGGTTATCATGACACAGAAGAGTAAATGAGCACTGCTTTTCTTGTAAATATGTTGATGATTGTGCAAAACTAGACTTAGACTTCATTTTATAATAGGTAGGTACAGTGCTGTCCACAAGTCGGTAGCATCCATTTTTATTACAAGCAGACAGACATAAATAGCTTGTTACCTTCCAGTGGTGTAGCTGCGGATTCATCAAGGGAGGGGTTTCAGAATTCGCTTAAACAATACATTGATGTAATGTAAAACATTTTACTTAGTTTTGATCTTAAAAGAGGAGTGAGGTACCGTAAGGGCGCGAAATGAAATACCTTACAATTAAGTTAATCTCAGCGCAAAACTTAATGAATATAATAAGCAATTGCATTCTGGGACTTACCAACTGTACGGGTCCTGCCATCCTTCAGTACCAATCGTGGCGTCATATCCCGACACATGAGATGCACCAAAACAAGACGACCTTGCATTCGCTGTCGTAGATCTGGTTCTCCGAGCCACTGCAAGTAGATGCGACCCTCATCGCGAAATAACCGAAATGGCACATCGGTGTCGATTGGATTCCTCAGTTCGGCCCACCCGGCGTGTGTCAGATATTGCGATCCGGAGACGGCACACATAGGCATTTTCACACCTAAAAAGTAAAAGAAAAATGAAAGTCAAATCGTTAATTAGAAGTGCTTCAAATAAAATGGAAATTTATGCACATCAAAAGTGCTGTGCGGATAAGAAAGTGGATAAATCGATGATCTCCGACCCGAATTATTCGCGTTGATCAATTAAGCGTAGCCAAAAATACTGGTTTACACCTCCATTGCTCCTGTTGCCGATTGTGGCTTTTTGTACAGATCTGCAGAAACGAACATTCCGCTTATAGCAGTTGCTGGCCCCTAAAACAGTGGAGCACACATTTTCGTTTTTTCTGTTCCGAATCCGATTATCATTTGGGCTCAAAGAGAAACAGGAAAAGTGCGATAGTCTTTTAAAAATGATGTTATCGAAATTTTATTGTTCTGGTTTTGGATGTGTACTTTTATTACTTCATTCTGATCTGGTTTTCTTGGTTATATGGACTTGCCTCATTTATAGTTAATGCTGTTATACAGTGTTTTCTCGATATTGTGGACCCTCTCAGCATTAGACTTTTTATTTATTTTACGTACTTTACACAACCTTGTTTTCAAATCATTCACAATCGTTGGTTAAAATAAATATCTAAGGTATGATCTGGAGCAATAAAAATACTGGAAAAACTTCGATGGATTTTAAGAAGTGCTTAAAATATTAGCAAAAACAAGGGGAAACAAAATCGCGAAAGCACTGGATTTGTGTTTGAAAGCATGAAAATGCTATGACAAGTGTCTTAGTTGACAAAATATCACGCCTTTTTGATATAACAAACAGATTTGAATGTGACGAATATTCATTAAGCTAATATTACTGTACCTAATCATTTTTGTAATGCTTTATTAGCGAGATTTTAAGCCCAATGACTAGTTCATGTCGTCTGTACCTAATCAGTTTTTGGTTTAAATCTTGAGAATCCTCATATTTCATCGAGTGGCATTATAAATATAACCGGTTGCCATGGTTGGATCTGGGGCGGTCACATCTTTCGATCATATTGAACCTGCTGTCGATAACCAGGAAAGTCAGATTGATCCAATTAGTGTGTTATTATTTTCTTTCCGAGCGAATCGAAAAAAAGAGTCATGTTTACTGCCGCCTCAACAGGTTTGGCGCGTCAGGGTACACACTAATCCAGTCAGTACGCTTTTACCGAGTTTTTGAATTGCGGAACTGTTCGGTAAAAGTTTAAAAATCTGTGGAAAATTTATTAATGAGAATATTTGTTATGAACTTGTACATACTTAGTTCTGTTAACCCCATTTAATGATAGAAAATAAAATTGGTCGATTTCATTGATTCCTTACGGATAACGGTCATTTGAATTTTTACCGACTTTTTCAGTAATTCAAAAACCCAGTAAAAAAATACTGACTCCTGTAAAAAAATCTTAGTGTGTAGTGATTAGCATTTCAATGCCAGAATTTTATTGCTGTGGATAAGACTGGCTTTTGGAGGAAAAAGAAAGTTTTGTTCAATTTGTTGTGGCACGAATTTTTCATTTTTCGATGTTCATTAACTAGAGCTATTAACATTTTTAGCAGCGGAATCATATATTACTCTCAAGATCAGTGGCCAAAGGTGTTACTGACGAATATGCGGTTGACGATACTCAGAAATGATACTATTTGATATAAAAGGAACGATGTACCTAGTCATGGCTATGCGTTCTTATTATTGCATGTGAGAATTACATATACTGATGACATACTCAATTGATTAACCAATGGAACGTTAACTAATGGAGGGTTTGTTAATCCAATGTTTCTAATATATCACTGTAAAAAGAATTAATTTTCAACGTGGGCCTTCTTTAAAGATTAAATTGTTGTTTCAACATAAAACACACTCAATTCTGTTGTAATGCCATTTTTGTTTGTGTGATCTCAAGTTGCAACCAAATTTAATGCAACTTGTTTCAAAAAAGAAAATATTGAAGTTAACCATCAACTTGAAGCGGAGGATGAAAATGTTAAAAGTTGAGTCATACTGTGTGTTCGAAGTCGATAATATCGGAGCTACCAAGGAGAAATTTGTGCGTTCTAGGGTTAACAATCAGTGGGGCAGCAGCTGGTCCATGTCCTGGGGGTTCCTTTTTTTGTTGTTGTTAGAGTAAAATTGTACTCAGTAAGTTGTGGATGAGTGTCCGAAACCCCTAATTTAGAGTAAAAATCAGTCAAGATTTGTGCATCTTAGTTCGGGGAAATCCGGATGAAGTTTTTTACAAGAAGATTTCTTCTTGTAAAACCTACAACCGGATTTCTTCTTCTAAAACCTACAACCGGATTTCCCAGAACTGAGACGCACTAACCTGACTGGTGTTTATGTTCACCGTGTGTATAATTATTACAGAACAGTAAAGCTGGAATAACTCTAGAACCATGAATTAACCATTTATCTTCTGACGAATTTAAAAATTTGAATAGATTCCCGAGAAAATGCAACCTGTTGTGCAGAAACAGTTTGAGAAATCATGTTTTTATAGCAAATTGAATTATGAAATCTATGCAAATATTGACGTTAGGCACTCAAAGGTTAAATACTGCGATTACCTGTCGTAAGAAACCCGTATTTGGCACCAAAGCAGAAAACCTTTCACGAAACAAGATCCACGCTCGCGTCATTGCCAATACAAAACTAGTCCAAAATCTGAGAGGCGCAGCGCTACAAGAAAAAAAGGCATCCGAAGGAGGTAGAAAGCAATGCCGCTCATCTCGAAGCAAACTTTAATTTTTCTAACGTTAATAATTTCAGATTAAATAGGAATTTTGTACAAGAGTAATTTACCGCTTAGCTGATTAGCTATTCAACTACTAAATCACACTGTATGTTGATGAACTTAAAATTATAAACTTAAATCCATAAAATCTTATCACTGGAAATTAGCCAAATTACGCACAACTATTTAAACATTTCTTTCAATCTGAAGTTATTTCCATTTTTCCTTGATTTGTTTTTTGTCGATCTTGTTTTCCGTATATCAATACTAATGACCCTACCCTATCTATCGACCCATCAACTCATGGACCGGGGACCAAAGGCATGATTAGAGATTTTATGCCTCAGAAAATCCTAGCGCCGACTGGGATTGAACCCAGGCCTTTTGGCGTGAGAGGTTTACCACTACACCACCGGCGCCGATAAATTATTAACATCAGAAAACATAATGATTTCCCGAAGTATGATTTAACTATTTTAGTGCCCACCTCTGGTCAGGGGGGGTAAACAAAGCCCTTTAGCGCTCAATTTCGGCAAACGATGCTATGAAGCATGATGTATCCTCATACAAAAAACGAACGGCTTTGTTAACCCCGCGTACGATAATATAGGGTGTCCCAGAAAGTATAAGCACAGTTTATAATTGGAATAAAACAACGTTATGTTAATGAACTCAAATTTTTATTTCATATATATGTTCTCTATACTATTCTCTTTCAAATGGGTGAAAATAATTCGCAGTTCCTTTAATTGATTGTTTGCTATATACCAAGCTACCGTGTCTTTCGAGCAGTGCATTGACACCAATAAAGGGTGATATGGTCAAAATTTGGTCAATATCAACTTGACGTATTTCTTTCAATTTTGCATTTAAAAAACCTGAACACCCCTCATTTTGAAGGTGTGTGTGTGTAGAATGTTGCTCCTATTTTGATTTTGGAATTCACTCTTCAGTTGTCAAAATGCCGTCCAAGGAAGAAGAGCAGCGTATCAAAATTTTGCTCGCGCATCGCGAAAATCCGAGCTACTCGCACGCAAAGTTGGCAAAATCGCTAAAAGTTGCCAAATCAACCGTTACAAATGTAATTAAAGTGTTTGGGGAACGTTTGTCGACAGCCAGGAAGTCTGGATCGGGGGGAAATCGAAAACCGGAAGCCGCTGAGACGACAAAGAGAGTTGCCGGTAGTTTCAAGCGAAACCCTAACCTCTCTCTCCGAGATGCCGCAAATAAGCTGGGTGTATCGTCTACAACCGTGCATCGAGCCAAAAAACGAGCCGGACTATCGACTTACAAGAAGGTAGTGACTCCAAATCGCGATGATAAACAAAATACGACGGCCAAAGCGCGATCCCGGAGGCTGTACACGACGATGCTGACGAAGTTTGACTGCGTGGTAATGGACGACGAAACCTACGTCAAAGCCGACTACAAGCAGCTTCCGGGACAGGAGTTTTATACGGCAAAAGGAAGGGGAAAGGTAGCAGATGTTTTCAAGCACATGAAACTGTCAAAGTTCGCAAAGAAATATCTGGTTTGGCAAGCCATCTGTACCTGTGGCTTGAAAAGCAGCATTTTCATAGCTTCCGGGACTGTCAACCAAGAAATTTACGTGAAAGAGTGTTTGAATAAACGTCTGCTGCCTTTCCTGAAGAAACACGGTTGTTCCGTACTGTTTTGGCCGGATTTGGCATCTTGCCATTACGGTAAAAAGGCCATGGAGTGGTACGCCGCCAACAACGTGCAGGTGGTTCCCAAGGACAAGAACCCTCCCAATACGCCAGAGCTCCACCCAATTGAGAAATACTGGGCTATTGTCAAGCGGAACCTAAAGAAGACCAAAAAAACTGCTAAGGGCGAGCAGCAGTTCAAGGCAAACTGGCTTTCTGCGGCGAAGAAGGTGGACAAGGTGGCTGTACAAAATCTGATGGCAGGGGTCAAGCGTAAGGCCCGGCAATTCGGATTTGGAAAAGCGGAAGCCTAACTGAATATTTTTCCTGAATTTTATACTAATTGAACTTGAAAAAGAAATTTAATTTGATTTTTTAAATAAACGATTTCACCGATTTACACGCGTTTTCCCTTGACCAAATTTTGACCGTATCACCCTTTAGTACTGGGTCATCATGTTGACGGATCATGGGCCGCAGACGCCGATTCAAACACTCCCGGCTTTAACAACTTGCCACACTGCCCATATTGCTTGCCAAACTATGGCCTTCTTACCAAAATTTTCGATAAAAATTGACTTATCGGCATCGTCAACTTCCTGACCATCACGGACTGTGTAGTATTGGTCTCCCGGAAGCGTCTTTCAGTAAAATTTGACGTATGTTTCACCGTCCATGATAACACACAAGCCCTCGGTTTGATGGATGCGGCTTGTTTCTGACTCCATTACGGATTCTTCTGCTTCTTGAACATTTTCAGCCCGTTTCTTGCCTTGACACGTTGGATGTTACTCTTCGATGTTCTCAGGTTTTGGCCAAATCTCGAACAAAGGCACTTTTCTTATTGACGAAAGCTTGGTGATCTTCCGGTCCAGCTTTCGGTCCAACGGTCCCGATTTCGGTGTGTCCTCGAAGGTAACTTCTTCACCGAGCTTCCCGATGGTGGTTTGGACTGCTCCGATACTTATTTCCTCCATTTTGGGAATAATGCACCATTTGTGCACGATCTGTTTGCGCTTTTCCGAAGAAATGCCTCGCATTTTGATGATTTTGTAAAAAAAATGCACTTGCGCACACAAACTTGTTGAGCAATAATTGAGCAACAACACACATCGATGAACAGCTGATAAACTTCATCGGGGTAGAAATGGTAGCGAATTGAAAGTGTGCTTATACTTTCTGCGATACCCTATAAGTAAAGCTATAGTCGAAGTCGTAATTTTCCCTAATTTTGTCACTTCTTCTAGGTTGTTACTCCCAAATGCAACTATACGCCTGCTATCAACCTGGTGTCCTGTGATGCAGTGCTGCCTAATCTCGACCATATACGGCGGTATTGATAAAACAGCTTTCATCAGTCACTCGAGCTAATATTCAAGGGAAGCCATGACAATTGTCAGTGACAAAGTAGTCAGGGACGGACATTAGACTGATGAATAATTGGAACTCCCTAAACTCGGCCAAATTTTCCATAGTAATTTTTTTCGCCCCTCCCCAGCTCGAAACCTGCCCTTGGGTAGATAACTACTTTGGAATAATCACCGATTTTGGGCCTATCGAGCAGAAAACATCAAATAAATCCATGATTTCGTCGTTAACAAGTCAATTCTAGATTGAGCTGTAATTAGGGCGTAAAAGCTTTTGTAAACAATGACTTCTCTCAATGATTTATGGGACTTCAAGGCACACCCACGAAATCTAACCATCGGGTAATGGAAGTCTTGCTCTACCCGATGGTGCTGTTGATATACGTGGGCGTGCCTTGACTTCCTAGAAATCTTTGATAACAAAATCTGTTTCGCCCTAATTCCAGCTCTATCTAGAATTATGCATTTGGTAGAATATTGTATTCTGAGAAGAATTGGCCACTGTATTACGGGAATTCCATGAAATTCATTTCAAAATGTCCTTAACATTTGATTCCATTTAAACTGTCATCGGAAGTCTCCTTGGACCTCATTTTAATTTTGAATGACGTTTGAAAGTTATCTAGAAATGTTTATTACTCCGCAAATCATATAAATTTTATACTTCTGCGGCGAGCAATTGTTAAACATTTTTTTTCAGTGATTACTGATTGTAGCCTTCAATGTACACGGTATAGTAAATACAGATTGGCGAAGACGATTTTGTGGAGCCAAATGGACAAACGATTTGGCATGTCGAGTATTGCAACCATGTATCAAGAACAAAAAGTTTCGCAGATTGCACAGAGGAGTATTTGGGCAAGAAAGCTGGCCAAAAAGCTGCCTAGCACATCATGTGGCAGCCATTTTATGTTCGTTTGTTTTGTTTTCATCCCGTTGTCGGCTGTCAAAGTTCTGCTGTAATTTCCATGTCAAAATTTCATTTGAAAATATGAAATGTTCTCTCAAAAGTTTTTTCGAATTTTAAGCTAATCACCAACTTGAATTAAAATGGATTTTCAAGATAAAGGTATGTAGATTTTGTTGAACTCAAGAAGCAATTTTAAATTCATTGTTTTTTGCGCAAACATAGTTGCTTATGTGTAATGTTTGAAAGGTATTTTGTTAATGTACCGGGCATTTCCGGGCAGAATGTTTGATACTGTAGGATAAATTAGTTCTGAAAAATGATCTATGGCAGACCATTTTGCGTATTTGCGATATATGGTTATTTTTTGCCAAAGTAAATATTTCATTTTGCATATTCTTCTTCTTCTTCTTCTTCTTCTTTGCATTTCAAGCTTATTGCGTGCTCTCAACTTAGTATTCTAGATGCACTTCCACAGTTATTAATTGAGAGCTTTCGATGCCTGTACCATTTCTGCATTAGTATAATTGTGTGTCAAGTACAAATTTTCCAACCTGGAAAATTCCTAGACCGGACCGGGAATCGAACCCAGCCACCTCCAGCATGGTCTTGCTTTGTAGCTGCGCCTTTACCGACTGAGCTAAGGGAGGCTGATATTTTGCATATGTTTGCATGAAATTTTTGAAAGTTCTGTTCATTGCATTAATTGTTTTATAGCCTAGAACGTCGTATTTGAGTATATTAAGAGTATTTTTTATAATCGATTATCAAATAATGTTGCAACATATTTTTTAAATTTAATTAGATAAATTATAACCAATGAGAAAAATGCAAATTGCACTTTTAGGGGGATTATTATTTTTTAATACATTACAATCAAATTTCAACAAAAAATAATCGATTTGTAGTTTTGTAGTTCGACTATTTGAGTTATTGTTCGTTTATGGTATTTGTTTATTAGGGATGTTTTTCAGGAGAAGAAACATTCATTATACCAGCAAGCTTTGAATAAAAACTTGATTTAAAACCGAGCATACTACTGATCTCAACATGTTTCATGCTTACCGAGTTAATCGTTCCACCTGTACTAAAATTAAGTCATTTGAACACTTGGAAGTGCAGCTTGTTGTGAATGGAGGTTGCTAGTTTCACGGAACTTCTATTTGCCAGTTTGTGTTTATTATATCGTGTGTACTTTAATGAAGTAACTAATTTTAGGATTAACTTTCTTTTGCAACATATGTTTTTAACCAAAACTGTTAAAATTATATAAGTATTTAAAATTCTGAACATAAATTGAAAATTTATTTTGTTACTTAAGGTGGGGGCATTAGCCTTCCTTTAACCCACTCTGGCTACACACGTGGATAATACAAATGGCTTATTTTGGTTGCTAGTGTAAAATTTAGCTAAATTGGTTTTTTTTTCTGATTTTATACAGGGGTATGCAGACTGATGCAAAATTTGAAATTTCGCTCCACAATGTTCAAACGGTTTCAAATCGGGTCCTGATTAGCCTTCGAAAGTTTAAACTCATTTGATAAGAATCTGACTTGGCACAAACCATTTGAAGTTTTATATGGAAATTACTATGGGAAAACAAAACTTTTTGCAAACTTTTCTAGCCTTTTTACATATTGTACTGTTAACAAATTCTATTGCTATCCTTATGGGAATTTTTATCAGCTACAACTTTGCAGAAAATCGCTTTCTGGCAAACGTCAAATTAAATAGTTATTAATTGTTTAAGTGATTGATAATCTTTTGGTAAGATTAAGCAACTCTATTGTGGGCAACACTGTATTCTGCAGTGTGACATAGTAGCCATGATTTTTGTTCTCTATTCTACGCGCCATAAACACCAATGTTGCCTGCTGAACAGTTGATTGAGCATAATCATAACACATCAGTGAATTGAATAATTAATAATTTTTGTTCCTTACATTTGATCAAAAAGTGATCTCCAACAAAGTTGTAGCTGAGAAAATTTTCAACAAGCTCAGCTATCATTTTCCAAAGTAGAGTGAACTGGCAAATTTTGAGATAAGTATGAACCGAAATTATGGTTTCTCCATAGTAATTTCCATATAAACTTCAAATGGTTTGTGCCAAGTCAGTTTCTCACTAAATGAGTTCAAATTTTGGGAGGCTTATCAGGGCCCAATTTGGAACCGTTTTAAATTATGCATCAGTCTTATGGGCATATACACGTAGCCCAATGTTAGGAACATTATCGCCATTTGTTTATTGTGGTACTTATTTATTTTATTTGACGATACATATTTTGAATCTATTATGTTTTTCTAGAATTCATCCGAACATTTCTACTCTCGCTTAACCAGTAGATCTAAAAAAACAAGTACACCACATATCTGATGAATTTAGCTACAGCTCAATTTGGGTAAACAATGAAAGTGTGACATCAATATTTTCAAAACTGTTCAAAATAGATAGATACATATGCGCTGCTGCCAATCACGATTATGTAGAGCTGTTTAATTGTGATTAACAAAGGTCTGTTATCAAAAATTAACGGATGCTGTATACAGTCATATATGCTCTGCCTATAGTCACATAGTTTTACGATTCGTGATCACATCAGTGCTTTAGTCATATATGACAAACTTTCTTTACAATTTCTTATCACGGTGATGCATTTGCAGAGCTCAAATGTAAACTCAGCTGCGATAAAATCGTATTTGGTAGGAACCCCCTCAACAAGCGGGGATTTTTTAAATCATGCTTTCAATTTGAACTGGATATATAAATACCGGCATCTCACGAGCATTGCATGCTAGTTGTAAAGAATAGTTTCAAGATCGCCACATTGTATCTGAAATGGCTGCGAGACCAAAAACCATAATTTTTGTGCTAGTGTTTTGTTATGCACAATTTGTTGAATCTGCAGAAGTGTCTACAGAAAAATCCACAAACAGTAATATCGAGAGTATTGGTTTTGGATATGAAGTGCTTCTTTCGAAAATGGATTACATAGAGTACAAGTTCATGGAGCTGGAGTTTGAAATTAAGGAGCAAAATGAGCAAATCATCAGGAACCAGGCTCGCCTTGAACAGACCCATGCAGGGATGTCATGGATGATGACCAGAATGGAACAAGCCGTCAGCCAGAATTTCACCACAATGATGGGTCAATCATGGCAAATTTTGCAGGGGCAGAAAATTTGTTCCAACCACGACAGCTTACGGAAAGCAATATTTAATTTGAAACCTGTTAAGGGACCATCCGATAATGTGAGAATGCTTTTTGATTTGCAACAGTTCAAGGCCAGAGGACCTTTTGAGTCGTGTAAATTAGAACCGAGTAAGACATCGGGCAAGTATATGTTGCAACCGTTTCCCAGTGAGGAACCCTTCGTTGGATACTGTGAGCAGATCAAGTTCGGAGGAGGATGGTTGGTTATCCAGCATCGGTATGATGGGTCGACGAATTTTTATCGCAATTGGACCGAGTACAAAAATGGATTTGGAGAAGCTGATAAGGAATTCTGGATTGGGCTGGAATTATTGCATAAACTGACGAAGAGCAAGACTTGTCAATTGTTGGTTGAGTTGGAAGACTTCAACGGGGAATATAAATATGCAAAGTATGCGGCGTTCGAGATCGGAAACGAGACGGAAAAGTATTCACTGAAGATACTAGGAGCGTTTAGTGGAACTGCTGGTGATTCACTGACATATCATAAGAACATGATGTTTACTACATTGGATAGCGATAATGATAAAAATGCAGGAAATTGTGCTGAAATTAGCTCTGGGGCTTGGTGGTACAATACTTGTCATCACAGGTAAGATAACATTATTATTGCATTTCAGTGAGCAGTTACATTAGAGATGGCCTTTTTTTCTTTTTTGCAGTAATCTTAATGGACAATTCATGACGGGAAATGATCAGAAGTCAATGACTTGGTTTCATTTCAAAAATGCGCACCATGGATTGAAGTACTCCAGAATAATGATTCGGGCAGTGTAATAACATTGTGTCGGTAAAAATTCAATCATGTAATGTCGAATTCAATACTAGATATTTATTACGGGAAAATAAATAAAAATATAACATGTCGAAAAAACAATCTTGACACGCTTTGGGTATAATTATTTAATATGAATGTCATAGTTGGATGAATAATCCCCAGTATTTAAACACCTGTCATATTTGACATGATTTAATTTTTTTCAAAAATTCTAAAGGTTTGGTTTAAAAGAATTATTCTATTTTTTGGCGTTAGTCGTGGCGTTTTCAATTCAAACATGAAATCTGTGCTGTAAATATTTAATACGCCAGCAGGACGTGGTGCTTATCAATGTAGAACACTCAAAAGGTGCAGGGCGACATCAACCGTTGCTTGCGGTATATAATTCGTGCCTGGTGGCATCAAAACTGGATCACGAATACTGAGCTCAATCTTCGATGTCATCCGAAGCCAATTTGTTTGGTATGGGCATAGGGTTAGCTTTTTCGCCGGAATGTCGACCAGAGCTCCGTTTGTGTGTAGGTTACAATCAATTGAATGATATTAAGCGTTTCTCAAATGAGATTGATCCATGCCCTCTTCAAAGGACTAAACAAACTGATATCATCCAACTCGAAGACGGTCCCTTTGATAGCGGATAGCTGCTTTTCTCATTTTCATCAAATATGTTCAATTGATTTTACACTGGCACTGGCTAAAACATTAAAATATTGAAACCATTATCCATCAACTAGTTTGCATAGAATACAAGGAACTCATTTTTTGAAAATATTGACCATTGATCATTTTGTTTACGTCTGGTAAGGACTGTTACTAAAAAGTTAGTTTTGAAAAAAAAAACTATAAATTATGCCAATGTTTTAGCACTTCTTAAAATGTATTTTAACCTTTGCTACTTTATGCAGCATATATTTAAATATAAAATAAAACAACATAGAAAACCTAAAACAAGTCTTTTCTTATTTTGGTCAGCTCTTTATTCTGCGGCGTTTCGTATAATAGGATAGTTTTTTTCTCGATTGCCTCGCTATTGTATAGCAACATTCTGGTTCGAGGCTGACACGTCACTGGTGCATACTTTTTTCGCACTCCTCTGATAGGGGAGAGTCGTTTACAGTGAGACAACCTTGAGCAAGTAGTTATATGTTTTTATTTTTTCGTATTCCGTTGAATTGCTCGTATAGCGCCCAACACGTTTCACCACTATTTTCACCAGCTTCAACGGTGGGCTCTGCGCCATCCATGGAATCTGTTCAACCTTTGTTAAACTTGGAACGCATAGGAGCACTGTCCGCATTTTTGGGAATATCTATGGATACAAACGACCTTCAAGCAGTAATTACCGTGGTTTCACAGTTGACGAAATGTATTCAAACATTGTGGGTACAATAAGGAAATGGTTTCTCGGTTAGGTTACTGATGCGAACGAAGATTTAGAATATGTTTTGTTGAATTTAAAATCCACATTTCAAATAGTGGATGCATAACAACAAAAAATTTTTTTTTTTTTTTTACCTTTGATTTATTTTTCGTTGATCTTGTTTTCCGTGCTGAGCACCAATGCTACCGACGCCAGAGAGTCAGCTCCTACACCTGGACCCTACCTATCGACCCATCAACTCATGAACCGGGGACCAACGGCTTTACTTCCCTTCCGAAGGAAGGCGTGATCAGAGATGTTATGCCTCAGAACATCCCGGCGGCGCCGACTGGGATTGAACCCAGGCCTGCTGGGGTGAGAGGTAATCACGCTTACCACTAAATCACCGGCGCCGCTAACAACAAAAAATTGAAATCCTTAAATTGTTGTAAAAAAGTTGATCATTTACCAAAATACAATCACATTTTGAAGAAGCCACTCGACGATAACTGAATCAAAAACAAATGTAATAGGACTGCAGCGTTTATCAATAGGAGGACGACCTTCATATAGTGTACATGGTAAGATAGTTTTTTTTTTTATCTTAGAGATGACATCAGTCGACCATTTCCTGGATTGAAAGACACAAGTTGACAAACGGAGCTCGACAGAATTATCAAAAACGCCTGTTGCTGGCTCCGTTAAGTGAACTATATAAACAGTTTTTAGATTCATGTGATAGTGAACAGCAGGTTTCGTTTACCTTGTTTTGGAAACTTGTGTGTTTACTAAAGATTCATCGGCATTGAATGTTTGCGTTTGCATGATTCATGAAAACAGCAATTGTTTGTTTGATGCTTAAAATAAACCAGCTTGTTTTAAAAATTGTAAAAAAACTAAAACTATTTGGTGAACAAATTAGTATGCGTAAACAGTACAGAAGATTGATTTTGTTGGACAATATTTGGACCAACAGAAAATTGATAAAATTAAATATAATTTCTGGACAACCTCTCCTCGATTCGAAATAATAAGCATCGAAGATGATGTGAGCGAATTTTTAGAAAGCTTAGAAAATCAAATTGAAAAGTTCATTATTCACCAATTTAAAGATGAAAAGCAAATTAAGTTTATAAGGATGAAAAAAAGAATCTTTGGTTGCATAGAAAGCAATAATTTGTCAAATGGATTTCGCTGAGAACTATTTTTGTTTGATCCAAGATTCGATCCAAAGTCATTATTTTTCAAAGCGACAAGTAAATATTCACCCTTCTGTAATTTACTTCAATGAAGGCTGATCTTTAATTTTTTTTAATTTTATTGTATTTTTTTTTGTTTATTAATTTAGTTGATAAGGCTCAAATGAATTAACTTTACAGAGGCGAGGATTCTTGGTACATCTTAAAACTATAGTCAAAAGGTACAACACAATAAACACTTTATCTTCCGCTATCCAAAAAGCCTCCTCCATCAGAACTGGAGCCGCTTCCAGTAGTTTCATTGTATGGCGGTTACGCCAATGAGAGACAGAGCACGTCCATTGCAGCAATGGACGCAAAACGTGGTCAGCACTCACACACTCATCACGAAACGGTTGCTTTCCAAAGTCGACGACGTATCCACCGAAAGAAGTGCTGATGAAGAACAATGAGGAGGACCACACAATGGTTGCTGCCGAGAAAACAGACGATCGCGTGGCATACATCGAGAGTGGCCTGCTTTTGTCGGCAGCCGAGTGAACACGGCTTTTTTATTTTATTGTAATAGCAGATATGAAAAAAACATAACACAATATCGGTTTGCACGGTTCAATGTAAATTAGTTTCAAAATTAAAAGATAAATTTCCAAATCCTGAAATAAATTGATCAGATCAGATGGTTGCGCAGAGCAATATAAAAAAAATTTAAATTAAAAAAAATGTGTAGACAAGACAAGAATTTTAACATCAGAGTAGAATGGCATTTTTTTCCAACTTCACTTGGAAAAGGTCCTTGTGATGACATTGGCGGTAACATCAAGAGGATGGCTAGGGATGCCAGTATAAGAAAGTGTGCTGAAAGCAACAACGCTAAACAATTTTTCGAGTGGGCAACATCTAATGAAACGGAACACCAGTTCAAAAAATATTGCGAATTTATTTTTGCAACCAACGAAGATTATAAATATGCTGAAAATGTGCTGCAGGAAAGATTAGAAGATTTAGTATCAATCCCTGGAACTTAGAAAAATCACGAATTTATCCCCAAAGACGAGCGAAGACGAAGGTATACTTTCATTTTGATAATACCAAAACACGATAATACCCCAGACGTACAAGCGCCGAAGTTCTCGTGTCAAGAAAACTGTTGGTTATAATGAAAATTAAGACAAGTAGTAGTTAGTAGTTAGTAGTTAGTAGTTAGTAGTTAGTAGTTAGTAGTTAGTAGTTAGTAGTTAGTAGTTAGTAGTTAGTAGTTAGTAGTTAGTAGTTAGTAGTTAGTAGTTAGTAGTTAGTAGTTAGTAGTTAGTAGTTAGTAGTTAGTAGTTAGTAGTTAGTAGTTAGTAGTTAGTAGTTAGTAGTTAGTAGTTAGTAGTTAGTAGTTAGTAGTTAGTAGTTAGTAGTTAGTAGTTAGTAGTTAGTAGTTAGTAGTTAGTAGTTAGTAGTTAGTAGTTAGTAGTTAGTAGTTAGTAGTTAGTAGTTAGTAGTTAGTAGTTAGTAGTTAGTAGTTAGTAGTTAGTAGTTAGTAGTTAGTAGTTAGTAGTTAGTAGTTAGTAGTTAGTAGTAGTAGTAGTAGTAGTAGTAGTAGTAGTAGTAGTAGTAGTAGTAGTAGTAGTAGTAGTAGTAGTAGTAGTAGTAGTAGTAGTAGTAGTAGTAGTAGTAGTAGTAGTAGTAGTAGTAGTAGTAGTAGTAGTAGTAGTAGTAGTAGTAGTAGTAGAAATATAAATAAAAAAGATTTGAAATAGGCATAAATCTCCGCAAAGAATATTTGACTTTTACAAAACTGTTCATAGTCGCTTGTTACTTCATCCAAGTCATATTACATTTTTTGTTGGATTCTTATTTCCACGACTGGTAACAATCACCAACAGAGAACTACGAATTATAGGATGATTTTCAGTTTTAGTAAGTTAAGGTTCTTGATTGTAATACTAGGTAGGGTAGGTAGGTATTTAAGCTGCTACGCGTACGGACTGTGTGTGAGGAGAGAGAACAATTTGATTTTTTTTAAGAAGTGCGGTAGTTTTTCGGGTATATATCAAAAACGGTATGAGATAGCGTCTTGAAATTTTCATGAGAAATTTGTTTTCGGATTTTTTTTTCCTTGATTTGTTTTCCGTCGATCTTGTTTTCCGTGCTAAGCACCAATGCTACCGACGCCAGGGAGGCAACTCCCACACCTGGACCCTACCTATCGACCCATCAACTCATGGACCGGGGACCAACGCTTTACTTCCCTTCGGAAGAAAGGCGTGATCTGAGATGTTATGGCTCAGAACATCCCTTTCGGCGCCGACTGGGATTGAACCCAGGTCTACTGGGGTGAGAGGTAATCACGCTTACCACTACACCACCGGTGCCGCTATTTTCGTAAGAATTTGCAACCCTGATTTTTTTGAAATTTACGTTTGTAAATATATCTATGAACTCTACCTATGGG